GAGCTTCGCACGGAAGTGTCGCAAGATTCCAGCTCAGCTGAGCCGGGAAGAGGAATTCCCTCTTCCTCCTGAGGAAAGACCCTGCTCGGGGTGCGGGGCCTCATCATCCCTCCCTGCGCTCACCCGCCAACCGTGCCCCGGCGGCCACCTCCCGGGAAAGCTGGGCACTCCGCCTTGCACAGGTGTGTGTCCTTACCGAGACCAGGCAGCTGAAATCAGAGACTTCAGAATAGCAGCAAAAGGGCTCACGGTGAATGCTTGTAGCCCTGGGTCAGAAATACAGCAATTACCCCAACATCGCTCCAAGCCTTATGGACAAAGGCCTCCAAGTAGCAGCAGCATCTAAAGAGCAGCGAACATAAATGCCACAGCACTGATGACTTAAGCAGTACCCAAGGCAGTGAAACCCCGCGGGTAAGAAGGTCACCAGCAATAGGGGCAGTGCCTGGAAGGCAGCGCTACTGACCTGCATCCGCACCAACTCTGACGGCAGAGCAATGGAGCCACAAACAGCAAATGCTACAGCAGCACGGCACACCTGGTTCCCATTCCTTCCTTCCCTCTGATCAAAGGCTTTGAAATAAGTCTAATCAAAGCGAACTGAAGCTAATTAGTTACCTTAGAGGATAGCCTCTATGCAATTATGATTTTCTTAAACAGTTCCAGTTATCCTGAATGACCAGACCTACATCACTTATTTTTAAAAACCAAATTGTGTCCAAGTACCAGTTCCGATTCATCCGTTCTGTCTTGGGGAAAACATCTGTCACCTCTTGAGAAACCCTGGCTTTTTGGTCAATCGGTTTTCCAAAGTTCAGTAAAATCTCACTTAGTACAAAACTACTAATACAGCGATGCTAAGGATGTATTTCTGGATGCTGCTACTTCCAAGCCTATGTGATCCATTTTTAGAACCAAAGACGTACCATGTTTCTACACAAGAATGAACAATTCATTCCGCTTCAGCGAGTGACACAGTAATAGATTTGGTCCCTTTAACTACAGTACATTTCCTCCATAAAAACAAATCCACGTTATTTTCCTGTAAGAATAAAGATGGCAAAAGAGTTCAGGCGTTATAACTGGCCTACTTAAAAGCTATGCATTTATAAAATAGAAAATTTAACAGCATTGTACTGTCAGACCTACCTCTAATGTAATTCCTGTCATTAAGGGGTGGCAGTTCCATAGGCATGTGCATTAAGTGAACAAAAAATTAGCAGAAAAATAAAGGTATGGACAAAAATTAAAATACTTTTGTCTATGGACAAAAAAAAAATTTTTTTCTTAGCACTGACTTAAAAAAACCCTTAACAAGTTAGCATAATGTACTGAAAAAAGAACTCCCCAAGCCCCACAGTTCTGGAATGATACATAGCAATACATGTGTTAATACTGATATAAGAAAAAGTGTATTACAATGAATCAAAAGCTCAGATTCTATTGTGTTGAAACAAATATGGAACAGGGATATAGTACTAATCGTTATCAGTCAATTATTAGGCAGCTGCTGAGTTTAACCAGTGACAGGTGGGGAAGAAATTAAGTGATCCAGTGTAATGCATTAAGGTTTAAATTGACATATAAAACCACACATCACCCTTGAGGAGACAGCAAACTCAGACATAATTATTTTAAAACAGTGTCTGTGGCTAAATTTCTTTCTCCAAATAAAAAAACTTGACTATGAATGCATCTCTAAGACTTAACCCATACTGCTTTTCATTTCCCCCTAAGAGAAAAGTTTTCCACAAAGAGCTAAATTCATCAGTGCATGCTCTTTAATGAACTCAAGAAGGTCACAGTTCAAGTGGCACCATGCTTACTAGTTGCAAAACATTTATGAAACATCTATCCTTTATAGTCTTAATTACAAGATATTCTAATATTTTAGTGAAGCATCAGATATAATTACAGTGCATTATATACAGAGTACAGAAATATTTTTATAGGAAAAAATAAATAGAAAAAAAATATGTAAACATCCTGAGTAAAAATCCGCCTCCACTGAAGTCAGTTACAGAACAGTCATAGATATGAACACAGGCAGTATTTCAACCCTCTTTTTAAAGCATATAGCAGTGCACATAACTTCATTCAAAACAGTTTAAAGTGCAGACAACATTATAAAAAAAATTCATAAGCTTTTGAAACTGTTGCATATGTAGATTTCATTCACATCTATTACGTCTCCTCAATCCCATCTCTTCTGATTCAATGGCATCTTTGTTTATCATTTCTTGGTCTTCTACCACATCAGGTTCAAACTGATGGACTTCACATTCACCATATAATTCATGATCTTCTATTCTGTAATCATTATCAATATCCTCAAGTAAATCTTCACTACTGTCATCTTCTCTGTCATCCATTTCTTTCTCTTGAGGATGTTCAGCAAACGACTGAATGAGATCTTCAAGTTTCTCATTACAAATGTGGCTGATATCTTATAATTCACCAAAAAAAAAATCAAAATGAAAGTTTAAATTACTAGAAAGGCTCCAAATTTCAGGTCCAGTTTAGACGTAGAATATTTCTCTTTTATTTGTTTCCTCTCTTTTATTATGACTCAACTAATGCAAAAATTCCCCAAATTTCTAGTGAACTGTTCTTAACATTTAAGATTTCTCTTGGACTGCTATGCACCCCTTGGAAGTCTCCAGTTGAAACTAATATACAATTTGCTGTTTAGCATATTATGCAAGCGTTGCCCATAGCCTCAAAGGTCCCCATCTGGAAATCCTCAGGCTAAAGTCACTCCAATACTAACAGACTGCTTAGGAACTCACATTCAAGAAGCCCATTTTAACAAAGCAGAATGTGACTGTGTGATCTATCCTAGTTCAATGTCTTTTAGCTCTTAAAAAAATAAATCATGACGTATCAAAAATTTGAAATTAGATATACCTCAAACAGGAAGAATGGTCCCCTTCAGAATAAAATTAATTCCACACACATTACCTAACATGCAGGAGCTGAACATTATTATAGTAAGACCTGTTTATTCTTTTAAAATATAAACTACTTCGTTACCTATCCTGCTGGAAATCAAAGTACCTTTCATCTTGTTTTCTGATTTATCCAATCCACTTTCCTTCATCAGTCGTCTAATTGATTGGAGCTGTGTCATTATTTCATCTTTCTGCTCACAAGCTAAAGCATTAACACTAGGAAAAAAAAGACAGATGTCAACAGCTGAAAGATTACCTTGGAAATGAGTGCTTGATAATAATGCACAAGATTGCAGTATTTCCTTCTGTGGATAAATACCATAGTTAAGTTAGTAACATACATAGCTCAAGCTTTTCTTTGAGAACTGTCTCTGGAGAAGTGTGGAGCCCATCACATACACCTACTGAATTATCTAGTCACTGAATTCTAACATTTGGAGCCTCAATGACCAAGGCCAAGTAGTGATTACTGAAAGAAACAATTATCCAAAGTAATTTTGGTTTTAGTACAACAATGCCTAATAAAGAACTTTACAGTTTAGAGGCTTTTCTCATTTATTTCAGACTTTGTTTACTCTCTCTTTTCCCCATCACTACTAGAAATTTGTTAGGCAAATTGATCAGTGAAATAGTTTCAGCACTTATTAAGTTCAGAAGTACACTAAAAGAACAATCATGAAATTCTGCATGTTTTAAACTAGGCTTCATGAAGGATGTCAGCCCACACAAAATGGACTGCATGGATATTTTTATTTCTAGCAGATGAGTAAGGCCTGAGCTTCTTAAGAAAAGAACATCTGTAAAACTACAAGGAGGTTATATTACTTATTCTTGTTACACTAGAACAGAGAAGTTGTATTTCCCCGAAACACACACAATGTGTGTCTCCTCAGTCAGTATTAAAGTTTAACTTGTTAAGCCACAGTAATGTGATCGTAAGCCTGAGCTTTTGCATTTATGTTTGGTTAACAAGAGACAGGTGTGTCTGTGGAAAAGGTCGAAAACTGCAGAAGAGGTATTACCTGCAGAAGGCTACAGAAAAAATAAGTAATTAAAGAAGGTTCCTAAACACTGTTCCCTACCTATATAAAAGGAACATTTTAAGAATTCTTTGTTAACATTTTGGAGAATTTCAATCTACAGAAAGCAATACTAACTGAGATGTTTTAGAAATACTCACCAGTTTGACAGTGGATCCAACTGAGTCAATAAAGAATTTAACATTTTCTCTGTCTGTGCTAGATGCTGTTCCAGTTCTAAAAGCTGATGCTCTAACAAACGACAAAAGAAAAAGAAAAAAAAAAAAAAAGAGGGAGGCAGGGGGGCAGGCCAAGAGAGAGGGAACATTGTAAGAAATACATTTACAATACCAAAAGATTATTAATTTACATTTTTGGTTGGCCACATTCAAAACCAGGAGTTTTTCCTCTGTAAAACTCTAGAATATGTAAGAGGAGCGGTGGGGGTAAGAACAGAAACCTTACTATGTGTGACCTGAAATCCTTCTCATCCAATAACCTCAAACAGCTCTCAGAGGACACAAATATAGAAACTGAGCAAGAATTGGCTCTCACCTTCCCAGCCTCAAAAACTATGCAGTTCCCAGCCTTCCTAAGTAGTGTATTTATACTTAAGATACTGTCATGAATTTGCGCACTCACACCTCACAAATATATTCAACATAGTGCACTAGAGTTGAGAGGAGTAACTCCTCCTATACTACTAAACTTTGAAGAAAGAAGAATGCAACACGCAAAGACAGCGAGTAGGCAGCATAGCCAGTCATTGCTGAACCTGATCACAGATCTGGTGTACAGCGACACAAAAAGAGGCTGCCAGTTGTTTAATTAACTAAAAATGTGTCTATAAAAGGGGTAAAAAAAAAAAGTATGAAAACAGCTCAGCTTTGCTGTGCTGTAACTTCTTCTCCAAAGGAAAGCCCACTTCTTGGCGTGTGCAGGATAAACTGAATCAAACAGTCAAGAGTACTCTGTATCGTGAAGAAAAAGATGGTATAATTTATTCTGTCTCTTCTATAAACACTTAATGTTTTTGACAGGTCTCTAATTTAGCCTAGAAATTCAAGTGTCTCTGTAACTGTTTATCGATACTGTTCCACTATCAATACAGTTCAATTCTAAAGCAGACCATTATATCCTTTTTAAATACCCTATTAATCTGAAGACTATTATATCCTATTTAACAACCTCTTCTAGTGAAGAAAACAGGTCTTAAGTGAGAAAAACACCGGACATGAAAAGGCAGAGAATCTACTATACTACTACAGCTGTTTTAAAGAATACTACCATCTGGAGTTTTCAAACAAACCCCTAACAAGTATTTCAAATATACAGAATAACAAAGTGGTTTTTAGGATGTTCCTAACTGCACTTAAGTAACTTAAAAGATTGTTCTCGTTTAGCTAGATTGCATCAATGAAAATATGTGGCTTTGTTCCAGCAGGAAATACACATTTTTGGTGAACATATGTATTCTGAATGGGTATCTTACCTGTTTCCTTTGCCTTGTCTTCTGTACTTTTTTCCTTTTTGGAGAGACTTTCTTCATGTGACTTCATCTTTAATAAATACAATCATGTTAAAAGACTTCATCACTATTTGTGCATTAACACTAAAAATGCGTTTAGAAATTTACCGACAGTAAATAGCAACCACAAAAATGTGCTCCATTAATGAAAGTTTTTTTCTGCCATGCCTTCTTCCTATCTTAAACTAACACTTCTGAATTTAAGCAATGACAATATGACCGACAAAAGTTGTAAAAGAAAGCAACTACTATTTCAACTCTAGTTTTCAAAAATTAACAGAAGGAAACTTCTAGCTTACTGGATCCATTCTCCTACCATTAACTAGGAGATAAAATGTCTTTCTTAAAGTAATAAACATGCTATTATAAAAATATTTACATTTCAATCCCACAAGCACAAGTGTAAAGAGTTGTAACACCTAAAATATTGGTTTTATGATGTTTACATCTTATTTACAACCTAACTAAATTTATTATTAAAACCTAACTGGTCTGCCTCTATGTCCATTTTGCTAAGCTGTGGTATTTTTCTCATACAGGAGATGATATCAAATGCACTACAGAAATGAAGGTGCTGTCTCAGGTCCTGTTCAGGTTTAAGGTTTTTTTCCCCTGAAGGCAAGCAACAATATTTCAGGTGTACTCTCAGCATTACAAGTGCTGCAACATCTCTTACTCTAAGTAATACATATCAAGACTGATTTCTTTTAAAAAACAACTGATCATGTGGGATGAGCCTCATGACTGGAGTGCTACAATGAATGGTTATAAGCTCTTCAGAAGGGATAGGCAAGGAAAGAGAGGCAGTGAGGTGGCTCTATGTTAGGGAGTGTTTCACTTGTCTTGAACTCAGTGACGGTGATGATAAGGTCAAGTGCTTATGGATAAAGATCAGGGGCAAGGCCAACAAGGCAGATATCCTGATGGGAGTCTGTTACAGACCACCCAACCAGGATGAAGAGGCGGATGAAGTGCTCTGCAAGCAGCTGGCAGAAGCCTCACGATCACTGGCCCTTGTTCTTGTGGGGGACTTCAACTTACCAGATGTCCGCTGGAAATACAACACAGCAGAAAGGAAACAGTCCAGCAGGTTCCTGGAGTGTGTGGAAGATAACTTCCTCATGCAGCCAGTAAGTGAGCCCACCAGGGGAGGTGCCCCGCTAGGCCTGCTGTTTACAAACAGAGAAGGACTGGTGGGAGATGTGGTGGTTGGAGGCCATCTCAGGCATAGTGACCATGAAATGATACAAGTTTTCAATCCCTGGTGAGGTAAGAAGGGACAGCAAAACAGCTACCTTGGACTTCTGGAGGGCGGACTTTGGCCTGTTCAGGACACTGATTGAGAGAGTCCCTTGGGAAACAGTTCTGAAGAGGAAAGAGGTCCAGGAAGGTTGGACATTCTTCAAGGAGGTAATCTTAAAGGCAGAGGAGCAGGCTGTCCCAGTGTGCTGTAAGATGAGCCAACAGGGAAGACCACCAGCCTGGTTGAACAGAGAGCTTTGGCTGGAACTCAGGAAGAAGAAAAGAGTTTACCAGCTTTGGAAGAAGGGACAGGCAACTCAGGAAGAGTACAAAGATGCTGTCAGGGCATGGAGAAAGAAAATTAGAAAGGCAAAAGCCCAGCTGGAACTCACTCTGGCCACCATCATAAAAGATAACCAAAAATGTTTTTACAAATACATAAACAACAAAAGGAGGACCAAAGAGAATCTCCACCCTTTACTGGATGTAGAGGGAAACATTGCCAGCAAGGATGAGGAAAAGGCAGAGTTATTAAATACCTTCTCTGCCTCAGTCTTTAATAGCCAGACCAGTTATCCCTAGGGCAGCCTGTCCTCCGAGCTGGAGGACAGGGATAGGGAACAGAATAATCCCCCCATTATCCAGGAGGAAGCAGTTAGTGATCTGCTGCTCCACCTAGACACGAACAAGTCTATGGGGCCGGATGGGATCCACTTGAGGATAGTGAAGGAGCTGACAGATGAGCTCGCCAAGCCACTCCCGATCATTTACCAGCAGTCCTGGCTAACTGGGGAGGTCCCGGACAACTGGAGGCTAGCCAACGTGATGCCCATCTACAAGAAGGGCTGGAAGGAGAATCTGGGGAACTACAGGCCTGTCAGCCTGACCTCGGTACCAGGGAAAGTAATGGAGCAGATCATCCTGAGTGAGATCACAAGGCATGTGCAGGACAATCAGGGGATCAGGTCCAGCCATCATGGGTTCACAAAAGGCAAGTCCTGCTCGACCAGCCTGATCTCCTTCTGTGACCAGGTGACCCGCCTGGTGGATGAGGGAAAGGCTGTGGATGTGGTCTATCTGGACTTTAGTAAGGCCTTTGACACCATCTCCCACGGCATTCTCCTGGACAAGCTGCCAGCTCATGGCTTGGACAGGAATACCCTTCACTGGGTGAAAAATCTGGCTGGATGGGTGAGCCCCGCGAGGTGTGGGGGAAGAGCCGGTCACCAGTGGCATCCCCTAGGGCTCAGTTTTGGGGGCAGTACTGTCCAACATCTTTACTGATGATCCGGACAAGGCGATTGAGTGCACCCTCAGTCAGTATGCAGACAACATCAACTTGGGCGGGAGCATTGATCTGCTTGAGGATAGCAAGGCTCTACAGAGGGATCTGGACAGGCTGGATCGATGGGCCGAGACCAACTGTATGAGGTTCAACAAGGCTCAGCGCCGTGTCCTGCACTTGGGTCACAACAACCCCATGCAACGCTACACGCTTGGGCACAAGTGGCTGGATAAAAGTCTATGTTGCAGCTGCAGGACCAAACAAGAAGGCCAAATTAAAAAGGTCTAGTCGCTATTCTATCTAATTGCTAATCTAAGACTATCAGGAATCATCCACCTCCTTCCCATACTCAAATCTCATTCTGAAGAACAAAAAGGAAGTGAAATACTGATGAGGCTTAAGTTACAGCCTCAGGTAACAGCACTGTTTAGGTTATCAGATTCTCATTTGAGGTTGGGGGTGGGAGGGTAAGGTTCTCACTTCTTTAAGTATCTAAACAAAGGTAAGTCAGAAGCCTTCACAAGGAAGAATCAGATATGCTAACATTTTAACTTTGGAGCTCACATTCAAAGTCAAACTGGGCAAGGAATGGCTTTTGGGCAACCATATACATGGGCTTACAATGGGGGGGGATTGGGGGGAGCGTGGGAAACAACCAGTTACATTTCCTTCTGATTTCAATAATTTAATGCTTTTCTTATGGCTTACCTTAAGAAATTTGTATGCTGCAAACACTCCCACTCCAAGAGCATACAACGGCATGAGGGTGAATGCTAACTCTCTACCATTTCCTCTTGTTCTCTCGCTCTTTATCTCTTTTTCCATCGCATTTCTCATCTGCTGAATACTCTGGTAAGTATTACTGTCAGAATTTCCTGGATTCAGGTGAACTTGATAAACTGTCTGAGGACTACCTTAAAAAATTAAATTGAGAGAAAGAAACAAAGTGAGAAGGAAATTAAGAGTGCAATTAGTTTCACAACTGGAATTAAAATGTTTTCTTCCTGTGTGATCATCTTTGTTCACCACTCTTCTCAGATGGTGTGGGCAGCCCTGCATGCAAATAAAGTCACAAAAAAAACTTAAAAAATAACTCTGTCATTAATAGAATGCAAAGTTAAATCTAGGTAGCAAAGACTCTCCACTAAGTTTCTATGTTTCTTCCTTCACAGCAACATTGGCAAACTCACAGCAAACCACAGAAAGGTAGATGTAACAAACAACTTAAATCTTTAAATTAAAGCATACTCAGAGAAACTATTGATAATGCTGAGAACAGTTACAAATTAATATTCTTGCTCTGTAACAAAGAAAGGAGTTAAGTATAAACCTAATTGTCTAGTCCCCCAAAAAAAAGTTTTGTTTAAATATACATGCGGTGTTGCTGTTTTCATTATTTTGACAGTAAATTCAGTGTCACGTGGCTATTCCCACAGGCTTACAAGTGCTGTACCTCTGCAAATCAAATATTTATCAGGAAAAGATTACACAATAGCAAAGAAATGCAGCCTTGGAAGTCTGAAGTATTTTTGCACTTAATTTGCCTGCCAGAGCAGGGAGCAGACGAAAAAACAGCCAGTGTCATTGCCTGACTTAGGAATTAGGTTATTTGGTAGTTAAATCTGGGGTTCATGGGACACACACATGAGAAACAGTGCTATCAGCTAAAAAAATGCAGATGCTTGCAGAGACAGATAGCAGGTGACTGGGGGATTGTGAAATTTTACACTGAAGTCTCAACTGACTGCCTAGACTTATACTTTCAAATCCGTTTGAACATTTACTTCATCATAATTTAATATACCAGAATGAGCATGGGTAAAACAAAGTTCCTATTCTATAAAAACTCCCAAACAAAAGATCATTATGCAAATCACTCCTAGCCAATTAATACTGAAACAGTGGCATTCCAAGAATTTACAGTAACTTAACTCACATGTGCAAGAGACAGCCACAATCAGATAGAGAAAAAAATTAACCCAAGTTACAACTCCCAGTGAAACAACTGTTTAGCTGCAGCTTCTTCCAAATACAAGTGAAAAGGGAATCTACTTCTGCTAATCTAAGGCGGCACTTTGTGATAAGAGATCTCAAACAGTGTTATAGAATTGTCTAAAATGAGTTAGCCAGAAAAGTTTTTCAGACTTCCAGGGATGACCCTGACTGTAGCAACATTTACTATCAGCCCTGCAGCCAAGTGTGCCAGGCATTACTGCAAGTTCTTCCACATGTAACTCATCAGTTGGCAACACACGCATTTGGAGATGACCTTTCATCTGTATGTTTGCTCACTGGAACTCAAAACAGAACCGGACAGTTACACAAAAGTTAAATGCCCTAGCTGATACAAGCAGAACTCAAACTACCCTAATCATATAATGCAAGTTCAGGCAGACATTCCCCTTTCAACACAAGCAGGTTTAGACTTACTAAAGCAGCACTAACTAAACTGAAAATCATGTTTTATCTTACATATAATTTTCCTCCTTTCAGAATGTTTCCCATTAATTACTAGTTTTAAGTTTGCGCTCAAGTCTTTTTTCCTTACTTTCAGTTCTATCTGTTTTTAAGGTAAATGAGGTTTACTAAAATACCTAGCATCACAGATGAAAGAAATTCCACAAATCATGCAAATAAGAATGTAGTCAATGGAAACACAGAGGAGGGATGTTGAATCCTCACAGAGACCAGTGTCCTGCACCAAGTTGATCCCACAGAAGAAACAGCAGAGTGAGTTACTGGCCAAACAGGAGAAAAGAACCCAGACAGGTGAGAACAGCACATCTGCCCAAAATTTATTTTATGCAATGCTGGATCAATACATCAGTAGAATCAGAGGCATGTGAAATGTTGTGCTTTTTTAAAGTTTGTTTTTAAAATAATTTGATCTATAGGGAACGACAACTACCATATAAATTAAAAGTAACCAAGCGAAACGGGCCAGCCTAGAGATTATGAAGCACAGTAAGTTCGATACCAGCTGGGAAGAACATGGTAACAGCTCAAGCCTCACTTTTTCTGCCTCCCAGGCAAATGCACAGATGCATAATTTGGAGGATTACAGCAACTATCTCTTGGTTTAAAATGCTTTGGAAGGCACCATCAATGAATCACAGAGCTACCTCAAGAAAACAAGCTTTTTCTTATTTTTCCAAAACAAATACCTTTAGACCTTGGGCTAAATCCTCAGATGACACACACTGACAAATCTTAACACACATTTATACCTCTCAAGCTTTAACGAGCAGTAAACTCTCTAGTCCATTCAGTGATACTTTTCCTAAACAAGCATCTTGGATTCCTTCCAATACACTACCTGAGAAATCTCATACGATTCCGCGCTACTGTTTACTAACAGTAACACTTGGCTTCCTTACTGCAATTCTAACATGTGCAGTGAATTTTTACCTCTGACACCTCACAGCTACTCATCCGCTAGAGTAACGAACTGTGTCCCTGCAGGTATTACTCGTCAGAGTGCCCCGGTAAGATACGCTTCCAGTAAGAGGGCATTACCTGCATTTAGAAGTAATTTTCTTAAGACAACACAGAAAAAAAAATCAAACCAGCAATGAACTAG